CCCAGCATGTCCACCGGGCTGCTGAACTTGGTCTTCCACTTCTCAAAGTCCTTCTTGTACTCCCGGTCACTCTGGATCTTGGCCACGTGCATGGACCACATCATCTTGGGGTCATCTTCGATGTTTCGAGCCCCAATGTGGTGGCCCAGCTGCTTACGGTAGCCATCTTTGTATTTGTACTGAAATGAAAATGGTCATTTTTTTTCAAAAAAATTAATGAAATGGGTTGTGAGTTTAATTACTTTAAAATCTTGCTATTTTTCAGTTCTTGCTAAGAAATAAAGTTATCTGCATATTTCCATATCTCTATTCTAAACTGGTTTAAATGCCCAGCAACACTCTAGTGGGAATACAGGCCAAGCTAAAAATATCCTATTTCTTGCAGACATCAAGTCTCTGGACATAAAGGTAGTAATATTTTTCAAAAGCCAAATCAGAAATGTATACTGCTTCTTGCCATCTTTGGCTAGTATAACCACTAACTAGAACTCTTATGTTTGATTTCATGAATATTATTCTTCAGTTGGTAGATGTGATTTCATCTCCCACAATGCTCACACTGCCACCTCGAGTCTGGCTCTGGGGACGTTCACTTAGTCTCTTGACTCCCAGAAATGGGCAGGACCAGACCTCCATGCTGCATGTCCTGTGCCAAGTATGGCCACAGTGAGGCTTCCACAAGTGAGAAAATGACACGGGCTCGAACACGTTAATACTTTGGTGGTGGTGGGAGCGGCTACCTCGGTGGGAGTGGCTACCTCTGTGCTCTTTGGTGACAGGGTCACTGAAATTTTAATGTAGATCTACTGTAGTCTACATTCTATCAGGACCTTTCAGAGACAGCAGGAGAAGTATTTGAACTCATCATTCTTGGTTTTGTTCATCTTTGTCTTTCTATTTACACTAGATGATGGGAAGGGTGCACTTCAGACAATTTTCTCTTTCTGTCTTTCTGTCTTTCTTTCTTCCTTTTTTTTTTAAAGATTTATTTATGTATACAGTGTTCTGTCTGCATGTATGGCTGCAGGCCAGAAGAGGGCACCAGATCTCATTACAGATAGTTGTGATCCACCATGTGGTTGCTGGGAATTGAACTCAGGACCTCTGGAAGCACAGTCAGTGCTCTTAACTGCTGAGCCATCTCTCCAGCCCCAGACAATTTTCAAAGAAAAATGTTGGCAATAATACAGAACAAGTTTGAGAAAAGGTAGTAGAGTTTCCTGTCCCATACCAGGTTTTTATCTGTTGGACAATGAATATAATCAAGTTGTCTTCTAGTATTTCCTATGCCTATGAAAGATAGGATCAAATATAAATATAACTTTTCCATAATTATAGACCCAAAATACTATAGATTATGATTCAATTTTAAACTAATGGTACCTGGACTTTAACCTTTTGGAATAAAAAAACACCATTTTTTTTCAAATAACATTTATGTGATTTAAAAATAAGTCAATAGATGTGTTCTAATAGGCAATTTGAATGCATCTTGTCACCGTGTCACTGAGCCTGCTTCCCAGCCCGTTTAGCCACATACATACGAGCCACTACTCACGTCACTGGCGATATCTCTGGAGGCCTTGGCTGCCACAATGGGGATGGCATCAACACGCAGGTCATAGCCTTTCTTCTTTGCTTCTTCATTGGCAAGTTTATACAGACTCTGCAGAAAGAGAAGACGGTTAAGAGCAACCATTTGGAGAGTATCAGGTGACTCCCACCACGTGACTTTTAAAGGACGGAACTGGATACGACCTAAGGTCCTGGTGACAGGGGAAAGCAAATGAATTCTATTCTATTCTTCCTAAAAAGTATTTAGCTGGGCATGGTGGCGCACACCTTTAATCCCAGCACTCAGGAGGCAGAGGTAGGTGGATCTCTGAGTTTGCCTGGTCTACAGAGCGAATTCCAGGACAGCCAAGGCTATACAGAAAAACAACTGCCTTGAAAAACAACAACAAAATGTTCCCCAAGCCAAAAAAGCTATTTAGTGTCAGAAATGGATTAGACGTAGTAATGGGTATTAAAATTGATATAATAATCGATTAGATATTTTATCATTACACGTTTATATATCACTTATAGATTAATGATAAAACTATTGATATAGACTTATATAATTTATTAATATAGATAAAATATAATCTATACATGCTGCTGAGTAAAAAAGGAAATGGGAGAGAAATATACTCAATATTATTCATCTTACTTATATGGCAGGTACTATTGTTCATTTCTTCACTACCTATCTTTTATTACAACAGGCAATATCTCACAGTGTTTAAAAATCAAATAAAAAAAAGATATAACCTATAATATAGTTGACTATACCTCAAGACTAGATTTTGGTTCTCTATTAGGGAAACATGTCTATAAAACTGCACTTTCTGTGGATAAACCAGCACTTGGCACTGTTGATGGAGCGGACTGTTGACTGTTGTAAAGGAGGCTCAGGTCCTCTACCTCTGCTCCCTTTCCTGACCTTTCTACTCCTTGCTCCTCTCTCTGCCCTGGATGGTGCGGTGACTTATCTGATGGCTGAGGACGGATCTGTGCCATGTACCAGTCTCTCCCCTCTGGGTTGCGCTTCTCCTGCCCTCTCAGGAGGTTATCATTTCTGAAGCCCGGTAAGGGCAGGCTGCCTGCTCTGCCCCAGCTCACTTAGCTCTCCCACATGCGCTAATTCTAGCAGTTTTTAAAAGTGGTATTTTGACTATTGTTTCTGTCCCTTCGTTTCATTTCTCAATTTTAAGTTAAGCTCAGTGTTGGAAAGAGGTGTGCGTTAGTGAAGAAGGCTCTTTGCTAGGGCTATGAGACACAGCCAATTAAATATAATTAAATAGCCGGGCAGTGGTGGCACACGCTTTTAATCCCAACACAGGCAGAAGCAGGCAAATCTCTGTGAGTTCGAGGCCAGCCTGGTCTACAAGACCTAGCTCCAGGACAGGAACCAAAAAAGCTACAGAGAAACCCTGTCTCGAAAATCCAAATATATAT